GGGAGTGGGGGCCTCATACGTTAACATCCCAAAACCCACATTTATCCCACAAGCCTTCTTCTGGAGTCCCAAGTCAGGCGACAGAACTGCTGGTGGCATTCCACATAGCTACCCCTGCTCTGGGATCAAACTCTCCCTTGTTTTGGGCTCGGCTTCTCCTAACCAGGGTAGTTCTTCCTCCTTCACAGAGGCCTCTGCAAGTGCTCTTCTTTAACTCAGCTGGGGTTCCCCAGCTTTGGCCAGTCCTCCCAATCAACCTCTTGCTCTTGCCAGTGGCTCTCTGTACTAACTTTGCTTTGCTCTCCTCTCCTGTTGCTGTTCTCTGGATCTCCCTTTCCTCTTCAGGAGTCCCACCTGCCCTTCTCTGTCAGTGCACTCAGACCTCTCTCCCTTCTAGGGCCCTGGTGCCACCTTTTAAGTCCAATTTGAGACAGCAGACTAGACATAGGTGCACTTTTTCCCCTCTTAAAAGGGCTAGTGTCACCCTATTAACAGGCAGAAAGAGGGCAAGTGACTAGCCTGAGGCCACAGTATCTGTGAAGAAATCACAACGAGACCCCAGGAGTCCCAGTTCCCACTCTTGCTGTCCCTGCTAAGCCACATGCCCAGAGCTTCTGTAACCTTTCTAAGAGACATGACCCTTCTCTGTACTATGTTATCTGAATTGTTAGGATAGATGGGATAGTTTGACTGATCAGTGAGATGAGGACAGGGGAGGGATCATTCACTCCCTTTTCTGTGCCTGAACTGGCCAAAGCAGACCACAAAAATGTGTCAATCAACTGAGAATCATGGACAGCAAGTGTTGTCCCACCAATGGTATTGCTCCCTATTGCTGCCACAACTAACCATCTGTTTTGCAGCAAACATGGGGGAATGTTTTTGCATGTTAAAAAGCAAGTGGGCTGAGATGAGTGGGGAGTTGAGAGTACATGTCTCCTCTTCTCTGTGCTCTTTCTTGCACTCAGCAGGCTGCTTTTAATAGCTCCTCTTGGCTCAAAGACTAACTCGGAGACAAATCAGTAGCTGGTGGAAGCTATGCTAATGAGAGTGGAATGGTGATTACACTGACCTCCAAAACGCTGCTTAATTTTTGCAGAGATTTGTTAAGAGTTGCTTTTGCCCTTAACTCTGAAATTCTTACTCTTTCAAGAATCCAAAAGGAAGAATCTGTGGGCTACTGGAACTATTGGCAAAGTGAGAGGTCAAAAGCCTCTTTCCATTCACCACCTTGCAAATGTTAGAAACACAAGATTTTAACTGTGTATAGAAAGACTTGGCAACCTTAATTACATTAAAGTGTACTGTGAGATTTAAATCTATTTCTGGGCTGTTCTCCCCTGGCCTGACACCTTACACTGTCACTTGCACTTCTGCAAAGCGAGTGTAAAACATTTCTCAGTCTGATTTGATGCCCTCTTTGCACAGGGGTGAATGACATGCAGAACAGGGGAGAGTTGGCTCCTCTGTGGATATTTTAATGGAAAGTGCTATTGTTGAAACTGGCCTTGTTTAATATTTTTATTCTCAGACAAAATACTTCCCTAAACTGGAAGTAGGAATGTAAGTGTATTAGCTATTTTGGGGGTGGAGGACCTTGAAGAGAACTCTGTAACTGTCTCAAATGTTGGGAAGTCAATGTCTTGGTTACCCTTAAAACCCAAACATAAGAGATGCCCAATGAATGTCATCCAGTCACCTTAACTCTGACCCATCCCTGTGTCCATCCCGTCTCACTTGTGTGTTACATGGAGACATTTTGGTTAAAGGGGTGTGGAGTTTATAAAGTTGGCAACTTGTACGGTTTCCCTAGGTAGGAGACCAGGAGCCTTGGAGCATGTGGGTTTGGTTTCATAGATATGTCTGTGGTACTCAGTTGGTTAACCCAACATTGCACTGCTGGTGGATAAACTACCAAACGTTCCCTCTAGCTCATAAGAGGTTCCTAACCTTAGGCACAGTAGCTACATGTCACTGCTGAGCTTCATAGAACAACAACGTTTAAAACACCCTGTACTTGGCGGGAATTGTCCTTAGTGTGGTCCATTTTGGCTTAGAGATGTACAAATCTGTCTTGTCAATGACTGCAGTTGGCCATAGAGAAGGCAGGAGTAGTTTGCTGAAGTGATGACAAGATGTGCCATTGCAGCATTTAAACAGAAGTGCGTGGTCAAGTCATGCAGTAAATGAGAGGCAGTTTAGTTTGATAACTTCTCAGAGTCCCTGATGTGATGGAGATGGGGAGTATATGTGGCTAAGGGCATGTCTACTCTGCAGTCATGGGGATGATTGCAGCATGTGTAGACATACTTGAGCTAGGTTTGATCTACCTAGCTCAGGTACCAACAGCAGTAAAGCCATGGCAGCATGGGCTTCAGCTTGGGCTGTACAAGCCTGCCAAGGAACATGGGTACTTACCTGGGCAGCTAGTGCCTGGTGCTGCGTCTTCACTGCTATTGGTACCCAAGCTAGGTAGATTAAAGCATAGCTTGCATATTTTTACATGTGCTGCATTCACCCCTCCAGCTGGAGTGTAGACAGATCGTAAGACTGGTTCCTGGTTTTCGTTGTTGTCATAAATATAAAGGGAAGGGTAAACCCCTTTTAAAATCCCTCCTGGCCCGAGGAAAAATCCTCTTACCTGTAAAGGGTTAAGAAGATAAAGGTAACCTCGGTGGCACCTGACCAAAATGACCAATGAGGAGACAAGATACTTTCAAAAGCTGGGAGGAGGGAGAAAAACAAAGGGTCTGTGTCTGTCTGTATAATGCTTTGGCCGGGGACAGAACAGGAATGGAGTCTTAGAATTTAGTAAGTAATCTAGCTAGGTACATGTTAGATTATGATTTCTTTAAATGGCTGAGAAAATAGCTGTGCTGAATAGAATGAATATTCCTGTCTGTGTGTCTTTTTTGTAACTTAAGGTTTTGCCTAGAGGGATTCTCTGTGTTTTGAATCTAATTACCCTGTAAGGTATCTACCATCCTGATTTTACACAGGTGATTCCTTTACTTCTATTAAAAGTCTTCTTGTAAGAAAACTGAATGCTTTTTCATTGTTCTAAGATCCAAGGGTTTGGGTCTGTGGTCACCTATGCAAATTGGTGAGGATTTTTACCAAACCTTCCCCAGGAAGTGGGGTGCAAGGGTTGGGAGGATTTTGGGGGGGAAAGACGTGTCCAAACTACGTTTCCCAGTAAACCCAGATAAAGTTTGGTGGTGGCAGTGGAAATCCAAGGGTAAAATAATTTTGTACCTCGGGGAAGTTTTAACCTAAACTGGTAAAAGTAAGCTTAGGAGGTTTTCATGCAGGTCCCCACATCTGTACCCTAGAGTTCAGAGTGGGGAAGGAACCTTGACAGTTGTGCTGCAGGCATTGACACAGAGGCAGAGTTAAGGCTGTTTGGGTGACTTTCTCTTGCAGTTCCAGATTCCCTGATATATATTTTTTTAAGTGTAACCTGACTGTTGAATTTCCAGGCTTTATAACTCTTGTATCTTTTGAGAAAATTACAATGTTTGCTTAAGGGTAAAAGGCCCACTTCCTCAAAAGGTATTTAGGCACCTGCTTCCATTGATTTCAATGGGAGGTAGCCAGCTAAATACCTTTGAGGATTTGGGTCAGCATCCTTAAGTAATAGATGAATATTTATGAACTGAACTGTACCATAACAAAGGGTTTAGGGTGGGTTTTTTGATGGGTTACTGCCCTAGGTTTTTGAAGTAATGCCCCTGATACTTTGATAGTGGCTTTCTGACTGTGTGATGTAGGGTTAACACAGCAAGTTTGAGTCCATTAGCATAGAACAATGGAGTCATGAAGTAAAATACAGAAACCTCTGTCTTTGCTCAGTGCTACAATGGGATCTAGGTATCTTGCTGCACCCTCCCTATATACCATGCTCTGCACTAGGGCCTTTCATTACTCACTACAATTCAAGGAAACAGGCCTGAGGACTCTGAGTCAAGAATGCTGAACATGCTGCATGAGCAGGAAATGAATGGAACCAGTCAGGGAATGGCTCATTCAGGTCTTCATGGCTCTTGGGCCTGGCTAGTTTGATGCTCGTGGAATGACACCACTCCCTTCAGCTGCCCCCAGCCCTTACCAGCTGTCAATGTAGACTTCACACATCTACAGCTGTAGACTGAACTGTCTCTTGCATTGAGATCCCTGCTCAGAAGCAGTCTGATCTGATCAAGCCACCCATGTGCTTTGAATAGCCATTAAAGAAAATACTTTCCTTGCAATCCTGTATCTGCCTGTTACAGTATCAGCCCAGGGTTAGGCTAATATAGGGAAGAGAGTAGAAGTCTCTCCTATTGCCCCCCCAACACACACACACACACTGGGCCACAACATTGCACCAGGGCTGCACTGGACTAATGCACAGACCTCAGCTCTGCAGTATGGCTGGCTTAGTGTAGCAGGGGAACTTTGTAGCATGAGGAGAGGCCGCTCTCTGTGGGGCTGTTCTTGCTTTCAGCCCTGGGAGGGTCAGTGTTGCTCTTGACACATGAGACCACTATGAGTATCTTTACAGGCTCTCTGCTTATACTCCCACACATCTGTGTTGGGGCAGGGGAGTCTCGGCTGTTGCACAAGACCCTTCACAGCGGTTTCTTACATGGATTACACAGTTCTCTGGTGAAATTAGTTTGCCTCATTCTAGAGTCCACATCACAGAAACGGAGTAATTGGTCACAAATGGGAGTGATCGGCAGTCTCTGCTCCAAAGAGCCCAAAACAAGACTAGCAGGTAGAGTTGCAGGGCAGGACTGAGGTGCACTGGTAGCAGTGGGCCAGGAGCGGGAGGGGAGGACAGACCAAAATAGCCAGGGATGCTGCAGGTCAGGACTGAGGAGCATCAGCTGAGCTGTGGGGGGAGACTTGCACAGCCACTCTTGCCAGTGAGACCTGGTGAGGGGGCTATTGCCAGCTGCATCACTCCCCAGTTACTTGTCTGGCTGTTCTAACGCGGGGCCTGTGTCCTGTTCCAGCTGGACGAGGAAGAGGAGAGGAGGAAAAGGCGCCGTGAGAAAAACAAAGTAGCAGCAGCTCGATGTCGCAACAAGAAGAAGGAAAGGACGGAGTTCCTGCAGCGGGTGAGTACCCCATTCCCTTTCCCCAGCAGGCTTGGTACAGCCTCCCTCTCCAGCTATGCTTCACTGCAGTATGCACCCCTCAGTCATCCCCACCTGGAGAGGAAAAGGTGGAATGTACGCCCACTCCCAAGGCTATTAAAGGCTCTTCAGCAATCAACCAGCAGGGGCTGTTCATTCTGCTGAATCTCATTTCTCGCCCAACTGCAAGGTTCAAAGAGTTCCCTCCTCCAGTCACCACCTCTCCCTGCATCTGGGAGCCCAGCAGCTGCCCTGAGGCCTGGTGCCTGGCAGATATAGTCTCTCATTTGGTAGTTGCATGGGAGAACATAGGGCCACTCTCCCATTTTTCCCCAGCTAGTCCTGCAGGGTAAATGGACCATGGCCTCATGTGTCTGTTACCAGCTAGAGCAGGTAGCTAGCTAAACCCACTCCTGTAGTATGGAGTTTGCTGGGGCAGGAAGGCATCTGACACACTTAGTTCTGGTGTGTGTAATTCTGTGTCCTAGCACTGTGTGCAGCCCTGCACATACTACACATCTCACCCAAATAACCACAAGGGCCCACAAGCCCAAACAGTGCAACACAAACAGGTGCCAAGAAGATACATGGTGAGCACCAGGATAGACTCTAGAGACTTGTCAGCCCCTGACATGTGGTAGTGGAATGCCCACGGTCTGGCCACTTCTCCCAAAGCGTGGAGATTCCTAGTCTGTACACTAAAGGCACATGAAACTCTCTCCCAGAGTGATTCCCATACAGTACACACGTGTACTCTTCCTCCTACAGTGCCTGGTGCCACCCCAAAGATCTCACACACAGGCTATTGCACTCCTGCCCCCTCAGCAGGGATGCACCCCACATTCCCACACAGTCATGTGCAGTGAGGAGCACCTCTTGGACGTGGGGCTCCTTGCACGAAACACTAGGATCTTTTTAAAGCAAATTCTCTCAGTAAGACAAGCCATAAAGTCTGAACCATAAAAAGATCAGAAATCCTTGTTGCTTCTCTTCTCCCTGAGAAGCTGGGTCTCCCTTAGGTACTGGTTCCTCTTTTCTTCAGGGCAGAAAAATACTTCTAGTGCAAAACATCTTTTCTGTAGTATTCAGTTCAGTTTTATTAGATTGCATATGACGTGTCTTTTGTGAACACAAGAAAAACATACACAATCTAAAACAGCAACATCCATATAATACATTCAGGTGTTATTCAGAACTCTCTTCTTTGGCATAGTGATAAAAGGGCAAAAATTGACACTGATTTAATTACCACTGGGGATTGAGAAAATACTAAAAACCATTGTCCTTTGAGTTCGTGATAAAGAATAATTTTTTAATACAAAAAAGGTATAATCCAGCGTGTTCTCAGAAGCTGGGATATTCTACAGGCCAAAAGAAAATGAGGTAGATCTTCCAACACTCTAGATTTACAAGGGCAAATCTGAAGATGTGAAGGAACTTTTCTATATCTACCTTTCAAAACAGCAGTTTCTATGGTTTGGAATCTTCGCTGAGTATATGCCTTACGTAAATGCAGATTTCATAACTCTTTCAAATATGGTTCAAAACCATGGGCCGTCTTCAGAGTAGAAAAATCAAAGGGCCAATATAGAATCATGAATCATAGCCAGATCTTCTTGTTGAGGAATATCTATCACGCTGTTTGAGTAGTTGATTGAAAGGTACTGACGATAAGCAAGTAGTAGAAAAACTCAATTTAGCTATACTCAGTTGGAGGGTATCACACCAGGGAAATGAGGAGTACACAGGTTGTTCCTCCATCTCCTGAAGGCAAAGACAGAGCAATCTATAATCTGGAAGAGTACAATTCTTAGACCAAAACTTAAGAAAGCAGTACAAGCTCTGCTGCTTACAGAAAACACCCACCTCAGCATGTAAAAATGAGACAGGGAGGATTAAGTCTCCTCAAAAAAATTATTTTTAACTATCTCTAAGGCCAGAGTTTTCTGTAGTGACTGATGGGGACACGACTTCTGAATAACTCTGCTGCACAAACTAAGACCTGATATGATTTACACCTGTTAACTATCTCAAAAGCATTGTTGTAGATTTAAGCCATTCCCCCAAGACAGGTGTGTATACCCAATAAAGGTGTGTGCACCTTGCACATGTGAACAGTGCCGATTAATCTTCATCCTACTGGAAACACCAGTCCACTTCGCTTGGCTCATTGGACATTAACCAGGACAAAACATTTAGTAAATGTGTGGTAGGGAACAGTCTTGCTCTGGGTCTCAGGGGATGGCCAGGAGGGAAAGTCCCATTTGATCCCAGCACTAGATTCTACTCACCAATAGGAATAAAATCTGATCAGAAGACTTTCATGTGGCTCCCTGTGCTGCATGGCCATCAGTTTCACACTGGGCTGCTGAGCAATATCAAGCAGGGGTAGCTTGCAAACAGACCTTCGATTGGTCGAGGGCAGTTTCTCTCTGTGTATTGTGCATGTAGGAGAGGGAGATTCAATGCTGGGCACTGGGTACCGTAGAGCAAGTTGTTCTTTCCCCGCACCTATGAGCAGACAGATTAAAGCTGTGTCTGTGTTTTTGGCCCTGCCAGGAGTCAGAGCGTCTGGAGCTCATGAATGCTGAACTGAAAGCCCAGATAGAGGAGCTGAAGCAGGAGAGGCAGCAGCTGATTCTAATGCTAAACAGACACCGTCCCACTTGCATTGTGCGGACAGACAGCATCAAGACACCAGAGAGTGAAGCCAACCCACTGCTTGAACAACTAGAGAAAAAGTGAAGGTAGCACTGGCCAGGACAAGGAGGAGACAACAAACTGGGGTCTCCAAAAATGTCGCCTATGTAGTGTATGAAGAACTGTGCACCAAGGCCTTGTCCAGCCAGAATCCAGTGGGCTTTCTTGGGGATTACAGGCCAACCAAATAAGGGGAAGGAGAAGATCAAGAACCTGCCATTCATCCCACTCTGAGGCTGAACCTGGAATGGGTCTAGCAGCTGTGGTGAGGGCAACCACTTGCAATACCTCTTTGTGGCCCTTCAGCCAGCTCACCAGCCCCAGGGATCAAGCAAGCAGCCTGCTGCAGGGCATCCTGAAGCTGGATCACATTGAGATATGGGGAGGGGAAGTTGCAACTTCCTCTCTTCCCACACCTACTGGTATGCCCCTGGCCGGGAGTGAAGGCTTGATCCAGGAGAAATGAACATGTGTGGGAGATGGATGGCAGGCAGAGACATGCTGGCTGTATCTCCCAGGTCTGTCCTATCTCCGTCCCTCTGGATCCTGCCACTGCTCCTTGCACACACTCCGGAATGGAATCCGAAACAAAGAATTGCGAACACTTGACACAAGCCCTGCCTCGTGGCTGGGCCTGTCCATGGCACTGGGGCGCAGGCGTCCCACGAGCACACTCAGTATAATGTTTACAGCCCAGCTGTCCCTGTCGGCCGTGCTTTTGAATGCACATTTTTACACTTTTTTATATTTTTTACAAAGTTTTTATACAGCTGTCTCTATACGGATTTATATAATCACTAGATGTGATCCCATAGAAATGTATGTTATAATGGTCCGTTTGTTACAAACGCATATGCCACAGTTATCTCATTGTGTTACTTGTTAGGTAGCGTCTGGCTCCTTTTCCCTCGGCATGTTGGGAAAGGGGCCCATACAGCCCTCCACAATGGCTCCACTACCATCTCCATCCATGTACGTTCTTCGTAATACGCAGTCCTGTATCTCGCAGTAAATGTTACTTTGACTTATTCACCTGCCTCCTTTGCTTTGTCTGGATTGTGTCCTGGTGTCACTGGGCTGGGGACTGACTCTGGTCAGCTCTTTGCACCAGCTTTCCCCCATACAGTTCTGGCTGGCGGACACTGGCTGAGAGAGGCTAGTTCCTGCACCATGATAATGGGTGTATGCATTAGTAATGGTGCCATAGGCCCAAAGGTGGCTCACTCCTTGGATGAGCAGGAGGCAAATGCCTAGATGTAAGGTGGTGTAACTCAGGCTCACATACACGTGGGGTGTAACTTACCCCAAGGCAAGCAGGTGTGAGTTACAGAGGCCATCTCATTCTGAGTCCTCCTCTGAGTTTCTCCACTCCTGTCCCCGGGCTGTGAGGTGCACAGAAGCATAGGTGACCATCTTTGGGGAGGTGAAGTGGGCAGGCATCATGTGCACATGGAAGAAGGTGATGTAAGACTTCTCTGAGCCTGTTCCCGGGTCGCTAGCATGCCTCTCCCTGCCAGCCATAGGATGAGCTCAAGCCCCTCTCCAGCCTCTGTACGTGCTGCTGTGAAGGGTGAAGGGATAAAGGTCAAACCATGACTCCCCTATTTCCAGTGGGCAGGTGGGTCCCCCAGCTCAGGTCTTACTGGTATAAAAATCACTCTAACAAGGCTAGTAACTCTGTCCACATGTGTTTGGGTCAGAAACTCCAATACAAGTGTCCTTCACAGCACACCATTGAGAAATGGGGCCCAAACCCAACATATTGCCTGCTTGGAGCAGGGACATAGATAACAGTGGGGAAAATATCTGCCCTTAGCTTATGCCAGATCCATGAGGAGAGAATTGCTAGGAGTTCAATGCAGATGCACTATTAGGGCTACCCTGGTTCCTAGCATCCATTCACCCTCCATTCTGGAAAGCTGAAGTGGGCAGAGGGGAAACAAGGCTGACTTAAACTCAATCATTAAAGGGGGAAAGCTTTGAATGAATGTGGCTGTGCAAGAAGTCAGTCCTGCCAGGGAGCACCCTCCAGCAGCAGGCCGCCGCATGATAGGCACATCTGCCTCAGTTTCCCCTCTTAGGTAACCCTAGGGCTCTGAGCCAGCCTCTTGCTTCAACAACACCCCTCCTAGGAGCGTTTGTTACAAAATATAGTGCAAGTGAACCCATAACAAAAATCCCACACCAGCCTGTCTGCTGGAAGTGCATCCTTAGCATTATCTGGTGTTTCCTGCTACATCTAGACTCCTTGCTGGTCCTCTTCCATCCTTCTGCCAGGACAGTCACCCCAGCCCTTGCAGCTGGAGTGCAACACTTCTTCCCAGCAGGAACCTGCACAGACTTTCTGCTAGGAGGTCATCTTTACCAGGGAGCATCCTTCACCCCCTGTGGTCCTCTCATATTCCCTTGGGTCTAGCTCTCCTGTATGGAGACATCAGTGGGAAAACCCATCCGCTGCTCCCCTGCCTTCAGCCTTCACCAGGGCCTTTGGCTCCAGCTCTGTGGCTTAGACCCAGCTAGTATCTCCCCCTACTGCTCCTCCTGCCATCAGCTCCCTGACCCTGGCTTGGGGAAGTCAGACAGTAAAGCCCTCTGGCTGCTCTCCTGCCACCAGTCTCCCCACAGAGAACCAGCTTCTGTTTCCTTGCAGGATTTCTCCTGTCCCTGGTAGCTCTCCTCAGCTGCCCTTCTCCTGACTGAACCAGTCTGCTGTGACTCATTGGAACTCTCCCACTCACTGGGTCTTTCTTCCATTGGGTCTCTCCCAGCAGGTTCCTTCTGGCAGCTCCTGTTGGCATTGCTGACCAGCCTGTTAAAAGTCTGGTCAGCAACACAGCAGGGGCCTGGGGCTAAGGCAGGCTCCCTATCTGCCCTGGCTCCGTGCTGCTCCTGGAAGCAGCTGCCAGGTCCCTGCGGCCCCTAGGCATTGGGTTGGCCAGGGCCTGGGAGGCTCTGTGCACTGCCCCCACTCCGAGTACCAGTTCTGCAGCTTCCATTGGCCGGGAACCATGACCAATGGGAACTGTGGGGGACGGTGCCTGCAGGCAGGAAAGTCATGCAGAGCCACCTGGCCACACCTCTGCCTAGAGGCCACAGGGACCTGATGGCCGCTTCCTTGGACCTGTGGTAAGCGCCACCGGGACACCGCATCCCCCTGGCGCCCCAAATCCCTGGCCCAGCCTGGAGTCCCCATCCGCACTCTAAACCTCTCATCCCTAGCCCCACCCCCAAGCCAGAGCCTTCAGCCCCTGCACCCCAACCCCCTGCCGCAGCCTCCTCCTGCACCCAAACCCCAGAGCCTGCACCCCTAGCCAGAGTCCTCACCTCCTCCCATACCCCTGCCCCAGCCTGGTGAATGTTAGTGAGGGTGGGGAAGAGTGAGCAATGGAGGGAGTGGGGATGGAGCAAGCGGCAGGTGGGGCCTCAGAGAAGAGGCAGGGCAGGGGTGTTCGGTTTTGTGTGATTAGAAAGTTGGCAACCCTATTCCTGCTTCTGGCCTGTCTCCCCATATCTGCACTCTCTGCCCCTTAGGCCCAATTCACCCAGGCTTCCTCTCCCTGGGTCTCTTTCCTCCCTGCTCTAGGCCCAGCTGCCCTCTTTAAAGCCCTTTTAGTTGGTCAAATCAGAGTGTGTTCATAAGGCACAGATACACTGGCCCTGCTCCCTCTGAACGAGCCACTGTCACCCTGTGACTAGCTGCTTCTCTAGTTCATGCATGTAATTTCTCTATATCACCCTGCATCCTCCTTGGTATTTGCCCCCTACCTCCTCACCCAGACTTTCTCCCTGGCTTGCCCTTCCCTCTCCTCAAACTTTCTGTTAGGGACCTCCTGGAAATATTGCTCCTAGATCAATCACTTATCTAGCACCAAAGTGTGCCTCATATTTTACAGACAAGCTCCTTTCCCTGAGAGGCTCACAAAGTGAAAAGCTACAAATGCATGTGGGAGAGGATGCAATATAAAATTAAAGTGATCGAGCAGAGTCATTCTCTCCACTATCCCCTTTCCAGCTCCCTCCCACTCCCAACACACAACCCCCAGTGCATTGCCTTCAGCGGAGTTCCCTGCAGGCGTTAAGGTGGTTCAGTCTTAGGTTCCTCCTAGCTTCCTCATGGTGCTTTGACATCCTGGCCTCAGTAACCAGAAGTGCCTTCGACTTGTACCACCTTCACCTGGCAGGAAGCTGCCCCTCTTCCAGTCTGATGCAGATCTAGGCCCAGTGATCTATCTGACTCTCACTTCCAGGTTTAGCTATTGCAACACACAATACTGTGGACTGAAGGGGCAGACTACCAAGAAGTTCCAGATGTTACAATGTGCAGCAGCCTGTGTTCCATCCAGCAAGGGATACTGACAACACATCACTCCCGTGCTCTACAAGCTACACTGAATCCCTGGCCAGTACAAGACCCCAGTTATCTGAGAGGTCACCTCCCTTGCTGTGACCCTCTCCTATTCTGCCCATTGCATTCTTCAAGGTTTCTAGCGTTAACTGTGCTAAAGGTGACACAGCTGCAGGGACTGGGCCTTCTTTGGCAAATTGCCATTGTGATAGGGCATCCACCCCACACAAGGCCTGAAGGGGTTAAAATGGCCAGGTGGGCCATTTAACTGCCTAGGCTGCACCTGGAGGCATCAGGGAACAAGGACTAATTAGAGAGGAGGCTCAGGAGGGCAGGAACAGGAGGGGCCTGTATAAAGCCCAGTAGCTAAGAGTAGAAGAGGGCTGCAGTTATTCTCAGGGTGAGAAAAGGGAAGGTAGGAAGAAGCCCAGGGATACCGCAATAAGGTTTAGGACTGTGTGGACCTTGATTTCTTGTTGTAGGCTCCCTGGGCTGGAACCAGTGTAGAGGGCAGGCCTGGGTCCCCCTACCAGTCACTGGGGAAGTGGCACTGTTAAGGGGCAGTGAAAGAGAAGACTGCCTGGGACAGCAGGCCTGGAGAGACTGGGATGTAACGTGCTTCCCTGGAAGGGGAAACCCACAGTGACCAAGCCACAAAGCAGGAGCAGCTGAGTCCTGGAAAAGAGAGAGAGAGCCTGAGAGTGACAGAGTGTGACTGCAAGAAGGGTTGTTGGCCTTGCAGAGCTAATTCTCATATGTGGCCAGGAGATGGTGCTCTAGCAGTGAGCAGAGCACCCTGTGACAGCCATGACGCTCCCTGTCACACAAGGCTATAAGGGAAACAGCGCTTACCACCTTTAGGTAGAAATATAAGACCCAGTCATTCCCATCTTAAAAAACCAACCACGCCACATGCAGCTGCCACTAGGCGAGGACACAAACTTTGGACTGTTTATATGTTGCAATGCTCAGCCACCGTGGCATGCGGTGCCAATAAATGCCTACATAGACAGAGTGGCTATTCAGGACTGATCCATCAGCTCCTCCCTGAGTGGGGTGGCTGTGCAGGGGATTCTGGGTAAAGCCCATTCCTTCTAATTCACCTCAGAACATGGTCCCTTTGCTGCTCTTCAGTCAATACCCAGTTGGCTGCAATTCAGCTTAGGTCATTTTGTCAGTCATACTTGGCTAGGCCTCAGCTATGAGCAAATGAGACTAATGAAGAGAGTTTGGGCTGTGTAGAAAAGTGGGAACAGGCAGATCTGATCTGCAGAAAACAAAACACACAGCCAATCAGATCACACAAGGAAGGCAGGTGCAGCCCCAGAACAGGCCCCAGGCTCCCAACCTCCAGAAAAGGCCAAAGGTGACCACAAAGTGAGAGGCTCATGTGGCCGGCCTGGATACACAGGTAGTATGTTGCATTTATTTTTGTAGCAGCTGAGTATGTGGTGTGGCTGGAAGATGGAGACTCATTAGCCATCCATGGAGACTTGGTGTATGTAACAAGTGGAAAATATAATGAATAGATGTAATCTAGGTAGAGGGGAGGTAAATCAATCTACTTAGCAATTCTGTGCTACGGTGTTCCTCTCTCTGATTTAAGTTGTTTGCACAGACCATGCAAGAGACTACAGATGGATTTCTGTGGGAACCTTTTCAATACTAAAAATGGAAATTATAAT